CAAGCTTCTAATGTATTAGAGAAGATAGTGCCCATGTTGCTAGTCATTTCGTCTAGTTCATGTGTATTTATGGGTACACAGAACAGTTGAGATAAATCAGGCAGGTTATTTGTGAAGCTCAGGATGAAGAGACAGCACTGCACACGAATCAGCGACATGACATCAGAGTCACTGCCACGTGTGGCTTGTGAAGGGGTTATCTGTTTAGTCGTTTGGAAATAGAGACACGTTAATAAGAGAGAAAGAGGTTTGTTAAAATCCATTTGAGAAGAGTTCTTCATTCCCGACTACAGGTGCAACACAATAAATCAAGACTAATAAACCTAACTTTAATTAATGATTTAAGTTGAGTAAAATGCTCAGTTTCACCTCAGGCTGTTCACAATGAGCTTGCCTTTATGCACAGTGAGCAACCATCTCTATGACACACAGCTGGTGACTAGAGTAATACATCTAGATTTCTGTCATGATGAATAATGTCTGCAGAAAACAGTTTCTCTCATAAAGATGAGTGCAGTGGAGAGATTTATTATTTTATTTGCATCCGAAGAGAGAAGAGCATTTGAAGAACTCCTGTTCCGTGGTGTTAATGTTTGTAGACCATTATGTTTATATACGGGTTTTCATTCGAATGCTTGTTTCATAAGCCTTTTCAACATTATGACCCAGTCTGCAGAAGCAAAACTGAAAGTTCAGTGTCCGCTGCAATTCTTTCCTTAATTGCACACAGCTCATGTCTGTTCATCATGGCGTGAAAATAAAGTGCATTTCTCTGGATTGTGTGGTGTGTAAGAGTACGTCAGCGCTCCAGCTGAACCTATAATCAGCCTCACACACTCAGAAGAGCACTTGAGGCCAGGGTTCCTCTGATGCAGTGCTGGAGGCAGAGGGTTCGACTAACACTCAGCTCTGAGACAGCAGTCAAATCTGATCAGGAACCTGTGCTTGTGCTTTCCTGAATTCAGTTTAGCAGGATTCTGGAGAAGCTTTTTTCAGACAGATGGCATGTTATGACATGTACGTTCCTACAGGCTCAAATGAATTAACAGACATGAAATACATTCTAAATGAGCTTTATTGGAAACCACCAATCATGCAAAACTTCAATCAACTTCCATTTTTCCATCTAAAACACACACAATCCCATCTGTTCTACTAAAACATCTGCCTCCGAAACCCCAACACAATCCAACGTGCATCTGACTCTCTAAACTCTCTCCAGTTAAACACATGGCATGCAAAGCTGTGATTCACCTACATACGCTTCTGTTCACTACACTAACAGGAATGATTAGTAAAGATAAGTGGCTGGTTAAGCAGCATCTAGTCGGTGCAGAGGATGGCGACTCCGCGCTCGTAGAAGTGATGCGGGTCTTCTTTGGTGGCGATGTCGAAGTCGACGGTGAAGATGAGGTCTGAGCGTGTGAAGTTCAGATACACGGGCAGCGTGACCTGCAGAGAACACCGAGAGAAAGACTGTGAATCAGGAAGGAAAGCAGAAGATCAGAGCAGCGTTCAGGGTTCAGACTGACCATGCTCCTCTTCTCGGTGTTGCTCTGCTTCATCCAGTGCAGCTGCGTCAGTGGCAGTTCAGTGGAGATGCTGGTGGACAGAGAGAGCTTGTTGTTGGCGCAGGTTGCCCCCTGCAGCTTCAGACCTGCGCACAGACAGACAGACAGAACGCTCTGAGACCCAGCAGACACTGACACGCTCCTCATCTCTCTCTCGGGCCGCTCTCACCTCTGATGCCGAAGCTGCAGGCGTCCAGCGCCGCTCCCTGCGCAGACGTCACGTTCACCTCCAGACACAGCTCCTCCAGAGACCAGCTGTTGACCTGAGCCACATACTGACGCGTGGCTGTGATGTAGGCCTCCGGCACGAACAGACCGCCCAGGTTCACATGGATGTTCTGCAGGAGAACAACAGTCAGTTCAACACTTAGAAAGCTGGAGAGGAGACCACGCCGTCCTGCGAGTTTTCTGCAGCACTTTATTAAATCCAGAATGAGTCCGAGCAGCTTCACAGTGATAAGAAGGAACACCGCACCCAACTATGTTTCAAAAATCATGTTTTAATTGTGACCATGATTTCTGCTTCTCTTGATTTATTAAGTGTAACTGTCTGCAATATTTGCCTGCTGACTATTAATCCTGAAACATTTAATTTGGCATGTGCATGATCTTGGATGGAACTGGGTGAAATATTCAGAAAGGAATCAGTCCAGTCTGACCTGTGTTGCAGGCTGGAATTAAACCACATCGCGCTGGTTTCTCCCAAGGTTTCTTCTCCATTTCTGTCACCGATGGAGTTTTGGTTTCTTGCCGCTGTCGCCTTTGGCTTGCTTAGTTGGGGACACTCAGGAACCAAGCTCTTTATAGATTAACCAACCTCATCATTGTTGGCCTTTACACAGTTATTAAACTGCCCTGAATCAGCAATGAACTGATTTCAACTGAATGACTTTTTAGAGCTGCTTTAGAGCAGAATTGAACTTTGTTTGCATCACTGAATCAATATTTTCTTGTTTATCACTGTAAAGCTGCTTTGAAACAATCTGTACTGTATAAAGCGCTCTAGAAATAAAGGTGACTTGACTTTGGTAACAAGCTTTCCAGGTTGAGTTTAAATCCTCCATTCAGAGCTTTCCTCTTAAACCGAAACATTTCCAGCCCAGTGGTTTACTTAATCTTCCCAACCTGGCAACCATCCGCACACTCTCTATGATCTGAAAAATCATGTTAAGTTGGAGTTTAGCGATCTCTATTGAGATATTGTGATAACCGTGTAATACAGCCAGTCTGTTAGCGGTGACTAAAGCATGCGAGTCGATGTTCTCGATCTGCGCCGAGGCTCAGTCCGGTCTGATGTGTGTGTTTTTGACACCTTGAGCTCTTTAGCGCCGCCGCTGGCCGCTCCCTGTGAGATCTGCTGCAGCTGCTTGATCCGCTCGCTGAAGTCTGCCACCCACTGGATGACGGTCATGGCTGCGGGGACGGTGTAGCGGCTCCAGCTGCGGGGCAGGATGCCTGCGGAGCACAGCACAGCGCTTCAGTGACCCGGCGCACACAAGACACTGATCTGAGGTCACTCCGCTGACTCACCTTTGACCAGGTCGTTGATGAGCGTGCGCAGGTCGTTGGTCTGCTTCTTCTTGCCCTCGCACACATGCACCACATCAGTGAGATCCTGACGCACGTCCTGCAGCATCCGCGAGCCCATCTTCACCTCGCGCTCGAAGAACCGGAACAGAGGATCCTGGGAAGAACAGACGCTTTCAGGAAGTCAACAACAAAACACGGAGCGTTTGATCAGACACAATCTGAGCTGCCATCAGGGGCAAAGGTGTGTATCACTTCTAAATAGGGTTACAAAAAAGTGGAAAATTTCCAGTAAATTTCAGAAACATTCCAGGATTTTTTGGGATTTTTGAAGTTTCCAGAAATTTACCAGAAATTTGCAACCCAACTTCTAAATCATGATTAATCACATGAAATGAAACAATGTGTTCTTCACATTCTCTTAGAAAGTGTTTCTCAAAGTCTGTGAAGCATGAATGAACTGATCATCTGACATCATGGTGATCGAGTGCACCTGCAGGCCGTACCTTGATGTTCTCCACGGTGCGTTTGAGCGGGCTCACAGACTCCGGGATCAGCTGCAGCCAGTTACGAGCCGTGGTGTGAAGCGTCCTCATCCAGGCCGGCTGCGCGTCAGACGAGGACGTGCTGCGCTGCTTCTTCTCCGTCTCGTACGCCAGATCGTCCTCATCCTCCAACATCTGCATTTTCAGCAGCTTCCCCATCATGTCAATGCCTGAGCGGGAGGAAGGAGCAGCCGCGGAAGCAGGAAGTGAGGTACGGGAGGGAGGCGCCCACAGGAAGTGAAGGAGGGAGATCAAATTAACAGCTGGACAAAACTTGAACGTTCAGGCACTGTGTTAATAAGGAGGTTCAAAAAGAGTTACTGGAAGGCTTGCCACGGTCTGATCCGGCTAACACTTGGTGCAAATCAGAAAAACGTTCTGAATGAAGCCGTACTGAATGGAATTTAATTATGTGTAATCGCCTGATGAAGAGTTTCAGTGGTGGACAATTTAATCTGATGCAACTTAATTTTTTAAGTTTCATTTATAGTTAAAATATCCAATTCAAATCAAACCGCCTTGTGTTGTTGTGCATCAGAGTCAGATGACCCTAAAGCACCACCTGGCGTTCAGTGCACTGAAGTAAAGTGAAAGCGGTGCACCGTGGCAAGTCCAGCGTCTGTTGATCACGAGAGCATCGCTGAGGATGACATGCGTTTGAGCAGGACTGAACTGAAGTGTGAGGAGAAACATGACGCAGGGCTGGTGACATGACAGCAGTGAAATACAGCTACTGGAGGCTGAGGAGGCAGAAGGACACCTGCTCCGCTGCGTCAGCGCTAACGACTCTAGCGTACGCAGCCGAGGAGGTGTGCTCTGCCCGAAACTCAGAGATTCAGAGAACCAATGGATGAACGCCTGCAGAAAATGACAATGACCTCGAGACAGACAGAGAGAGAAGGAGACGAGAAGGGTCAGAGTTCAGGAGTAAACACCGTCCTCATGACAGTCCCGCAGACGCTCGTACCCTGAGTAGTGAGCAGGACCTTCTCTGCGTTACTCGGCAGACCCAGCCATGATGGAGTCTGAGTGTCCGGCAGCAACTCCACCCAGTGAATGAACTCCTCACGCCTGCACCACAGAAACACAGACACGTCTTGCAAACACTGCCTTATAACGTGCTTTATCCAGTACCGAGCGTTTCAGCTTCACAGGTTAATGGATCAAAATTCACCAATTATGAAAATATTGTTCCAGCTACAAGTCATGAGAGTGAATCATATGCAGGGCGACTCTGTATAGACTTCCGTCTGAACTGCATTCACAACAGACAATGGATCTTTCTTGCTTGTGAAATTTTACTGTGACCGCACTTTAGTTGCTCTAGCTTTTAACTTCTTTATTTCACCACTGTCTGTAAAGCTGAGCACGACACCAACAGCACACACAGAAACATGATTAAACTGAAAGGTCTGCGCTGACCGGATCCCGTCAGGCATCTTGATGTCCTTGTGTCCGTCCACTTTGAGCGCCAGCTTGAACTCGCTGTCGAAGCTGCTGGTGGTGAAGAGACGCTCCAGGAAGGTGTTGAGCAGCCGCTGGTCGAACTCGTTGTCGATGCGTCCTCCGTAGATGGACTGGGCCATCAGCGTCCTCAGCGCCGCCCACGGGATCTTATCCGGAGAGATGTTCTGCCGGCCCTGCGGAGAACGACAGGCGCTCAGAGCCTCACATACAGATACAGCACAACAGACATGAGGAACAGACTCGAACCTTCGCCGTATCGTCCAGCCAGGTGTCCACCGTGTCGCAGGCCGAGCGTAGATCCGACTCTCCGAACTCATACTTCTTAGACCAGCCCAGCGGAGCGTAACGCAGGCGCTCCTGGATGACGGCGTGGAACCAGGCCAGGAGGAAGTACAAGCGAGCTCTTTCGTTTGGAGACTGAGAGAAGAGACAGACGGCAGGTGTGAGCGATGAACAAACAAACAAAGAAGAGATTCTTCTGAAATGAACATTTGGCAACATTCAGAAAAAATGCTGCTGATTCAGATTCATCTGAAGAAGCTCACAGATAACAGCAAACACTGACAGAAGACCGTATATCATTATACTCTCACCACGCATCACAAAATGCACATTTTTATCAAAGTGATTTCTGAAATATAACGGTCCTTATGACAATTTCCCCATCACAAATGTGCTACGTTTCGCAGGTCACACAAATCAAGTAAATATGCATCTGATTGAGTGCACTGGAGATTCAGTGCCGCAGGAATCGCTGCTCGTTCATCTGCAGCGGCTGCGCTCACCTTACACATGCGCGCCACAGGAATACTGCTGAACGTGCGCAGCATATTAGCCTTCATCCCGGGAGGAGGCTCGAACACAAAGATACGTCCGGCCCGCAGCAGGTTCACAGGGACCTGAGGGAGATACGGTCAACATCAGACGACTCATTCCTCATGACAGGACAGCACACAGTGAGCACAGGAAGTGATGCGTGACCTTGGGGTTGATCTCCATGGTGAGGAAGAGCCGGAAGCAGGCATGCGGCTGCATGGAGTGAAGCTTCTTCTCCAGCTGCATCAGCCAACCGGGAGCCAAATGAACGTTCTCCAGCATCACCCACCTGACACACAAACACACGTCAGATCACGTGACCAGCAGACCTGACCAATCAGGAGTGAGAAGGGTCAGCTGATCTCCTCTCACCTGCCGGACTTCACCGCTGTGTTGATGTCTCTGTCGGCTTTATTGAAGCCTTCAGCAGAACCTGAAGATGGACCACATGTGTGTTACTTCACTAGTTTAACAGGGACTATCCAGAAAGACACTACAGCACAGCACTGGTGGCTTTTACTAAGAACCTAATAAATACAACCAACAAAAAATCTGAAACTTAAAACACAGAAAAACTGCAATTGATTCAGCTTAAACCAGATTTTTATAGCATATTGAATTTTTTTGAGTTTTTCTTGACTGTCTAAGATGGTTGTGGACAGTGCTGGGGAAAGTCACTTTAAAAAGTAATGCATTATGATACTGTGTTACTCCATGAAAAAAGTAACTAATTGCGTTACTTTTTATGGAAAGTAATTAGTGCTGGGCAACTAGGGTTGTTCATTTTAACCGGTTAACCGTTAATCGACCGTGAAGAATTTTGACCGAGTAATACAATCAGTTAAACGGTTTAAAAAGTTTTTTTTTTGTTTTTTTTTTAAATAGTAATTTATCAAAATATTTAAAAAGGTTTGCTGCACGGTTGAAATACGCTATGCGTGTAAAAAAAAATTGGGGTTTTTTAAAGAGGAGAAAAAAAAGTCACATTTTATTATTTAATTCAGAAATAGGCCTAATGCCGACGCGAAATGTTTACAAACATTATAATAAACACTGTAAACATAGCTAGGCTATTTTAGTTCCCCTCACTCCACAACAAATCCTTTCAATTAACAGTATTTAGAAAAGAACAAGAATTAAAAATATACGAAGCTATAGCAATATAAACGACAAGCCAAAACGAATTAATTTAGGCTAAAACGAAACTGAAACCAACGTTGCGTCTCTCATTCCACACAAAATCAAATGTTTCCGTATTCGCGATGTATTTGAATGGCAAATTATTATTTATTATGTAGCCTAACTACTTCACTGGCGTTCCAATATCCACGTAAAACAAAATGGTTTGCATAAATCATTCACGGCGGTACGGTGATAACACTTAACGGCACAGATTTTGCCGGCGCAATCACTTGAGGTTTTTCCTTCTAACGGTGGAAGCAACTACTCCTTTTAGTCCTAAAGATAATCGGAATTGTAAAATGTTTGCCTTTATTTGTGTACATTCACAATAAAAAAATCTTTGTGCTTTTGTAAAATAAGCCTAAAGAAAAATAGGATGCCGCTTTCTGCCGTCTTGGTTTCCTTTCGCGCAGCACAAAAATTAACCGAAACTCTGCATACTAGGCTACTTGTTGCACAGTTTTTCTTTCGTTTTCTTCATTTATTATTCAAGTAAAAATATATTTCTCATATAGGCCTATTTATCCGTTATATACAGTATATAGCCTAGCTTTATGATGTTTTTGTCCGCTGGCAGAAGCGCTGCAGGTGCGTGATGTGATATGAAGACCAGTGAATCCTCATGTTCTGTTGTTTGCTGCTAATGTAAAATTAATCCCCGGGAAACAAATGTTAGTATTTTTTAACGGGTCACAGGCACTTATCCTTTCTAATTTAATTAAATTAAAATAATCTTGTTGGTTAATGGTTAATAATCGGTTAACAAGCGTCGGTTAGGAAAAATAACCGAAATGAACATCCCTATGGGCAACGATTAATCGCATCCAAAATAAAAGTTTTTGTTTACATAGTATATGTGTGTGTACTGTGTGTATTTATTATGTGTATATATAAATACACACACATGCATGTATATATTTAAGAAAAATATATGTTTATATATTAAATATATTTATATATAATATAAATGATATGAATAAATATATACACATAATTATTTTCAAAATATATATACACACACATACAGTGTATATATATATACACATAATATACGTGTGTGTACTGTGTGTATTTATTATGTAAACAAAAACTTTTATTTTGGATGTGATTAATCGTTGCCCAGCACTAAAAGTTATGCATTACATTACTTAAGCGTTATTTTTTGTCACCTGGGCTGTGCTTGGTTATTAGTTTTTTAATAACAAACAACCCAAAAGTAATTTTTTTGGCAACTGTAAAGGCCCTTTCACACCAAAAGTGAAATGAATAATCTCAGGCTGAAGGAAGAGCCTCTTTTTCATTACTTTACTAGTTGCTCGAAAAAGTAATTTCCCAACACTGGTTGTGTACGTACCGATGGAAATGGAGGTGATGTGTTTGTTCTGCTCAGCTGCGAGATCCCGCACCAATCCGCTGGCATCGTATCCGGGCACGGAGCACATCAGCACCGGCGTCCCCGGCTTCACCTGCACACACAAGCACTAATGCAGCATCCGCAGCATCACAGCGTCAGCACACCACAGACACGCATCCCTACCTCACTGTCCACGATGTTAGCCAGGTCCAGCGGCTGTTCGATGATGGCCATGAAGGTTTCTCCCATGACTTTAGACACGAAGATGTGTGTCATGGCCAGCAGACGGTCGGGTCTGAACGCCTGGATCAGCAGCAGCTGGTGGACGGCCTGACCGATCAGAGCTGAGGACAAACATCAACAAACACAAGTCAGTCCTGCAGTCTCTCACAGGCAGCTGTGTGTGGAAATGCATTGTACTCACTGGACGTCTTCTCTTCGGTCCACAGGTACGGCACTGACAGCTCCGGCGAGTTGCTCTCGATCCACATGAAGAATTGCTGGAGGACAGAAAGGCATTGTACATTCAGATGCTCTGCGGTGAAGAACAGACGCGTACAGGTCAGACAGACGGAGAGACGCTCACCTCGTCCGCCTGCACTTTGGCCACCAGGTCTTTAAACGCAGGCAGACGGCTGAGGCGCACCATGGCCTCGGACTGCTCGCTGCTCAAACCCTTGACTTTCGGCACCGTCGTCCCCCTCAACACAATCTCTTTCCCACGCAAGAAGTGCTGGAACTCTGCGTCGAATGACGGCTCGCTGAGAAACACGAGGAAACATCTGAGCTGCACATCCTCAGAAATCAAACAGCTCTGATCTCCATCCACTAGCTCATGTGTGTCTGTTCAGCATCTCACTAGTCGATCACAGGCCTAAGCTTCATTTACAGAGAAACCAAGAGCGTCATCGGATTCAAACGCACTACACGTGAAGTTCATGTGAAACTTGTTACACGACTAATGAAGGACGTTGAGGATATTAAGCAGAACATGACTTTTTCCTCACTGATGCTGTGCATGGACAGACATACAAGGATTTGCTAAATCGTGTCAAAATATTTTAAAACCGGAAGTAGTAACTGAATTCAAGTGGAGATTAACTCCTTTATAGAAGAAGAAAGTGCATTTGTGAAATCTGAAAGCTTTGTACCTGGTCATGCCCTTCAGGTTGATTCGTGAGAGCAGCATGGCAAACGTGACGTGGTCCTGATGCAGCATGCCTCGAGCGACTCGGTTAAATGCCACCTAAACAGAAAAACCACCACACGTTACTAAATATTTCCTAAACAATGGCCCTTCACAACAAAGGCGATACAAAACAAAGAACATCACAATGCATAATTTCAGCAATGTGACATTCTACTACAGTTGGGGTTTAAAACGTTATGATACTTCTAATATGGTGAACGGCGTCTGTTTCTTTCCCAAACATCTGTTCTGGGAGTGTGTAAGTTTGGTGAGCAGGTACAAAACTTTATTTACAGCAGCAACAAATGCACATGTGCACCGATCCACTGTAATTATTCCACTCAACTGTAGGGGGCTCCAAAGTCACAAAAATACACACAACATACAGTTGCTTTAACTAATCTGCGGTTACTTGTACAGTTAAATGCGTGTAAGTTCAGCAGAAAACATACTAGAAATAGAGTCAGGTGGACTGTATCTGCATCATTTAATGATTGCAGGTTTGCATAAAATTAGTTTTTTTTGTATTTCCCTGTGGGTTTTTATTAACTGAACAGGAAAATGAATCTGTTTTTGTGCGAGATGAGACTCTGAACATTTGCGTTTGGCGTGAAAGGCCTTCAGTCCTCAGACGCAGCATTCCTCACCTGGAACAGGTCTTTGGTGATGTGAGACAGACGCTGTGTGTGGTCGCTCACGCTCTTCAGGTTGGAGTTCTCGTATAATACAGTGTGGTAGATATCCAGGAAGAACTGCAGCGAGTACTGATACAGGAAGTGCATCTGTGAAAGAGACGGATCCAGCATGAGCCAGAGTTCACACACGCAAATGCACACACACACAGACTCGCGCGCACTCTCGCACACTCACACGCAGACTCGCTCTCGCACTCTCGCACACTCACACGCAGACTCGCTCTCGCACTCTCACACACTCACTCATTCTGACTAGGGGTGGGCAATGTGGCCAAATATATAGACATAGCCAAATAAGTTCTCTTTCACTGCTGATTGAGTTTTAACGGCTTAAAATCACTTGTTTTTAGACCGCAATGCTTAAAAACACGTGCAGACGATAAGTTTTCATGACCAGTGTGTAACCACGATAGAGACGATAGTCCAAAATCTCTGCCGGTTAATCGTGTCTGCCGGTATATCGCCCACCCCTAACAGACACACACACACACACAGCGATGAGCGCTGCAGACGTGTGACCTGGTTCAGAGCCTCCATGGTGAAGTAGATGCTGCTGCAGGCCGAGGACAGAGACAGATACTGCTGAGACACCGTCTCCACTTCCTGCATGATGATGTCAGTTTCCTCCACTTTCCTGGTCACCTCCGCCGCCTCCTTCTTCAGGTTCTCCAGGGTGGTGATGATGGTGTCGTCGTCCAGGATGCGACCCTTGACCTCGTTCAGGGCCTGCAGCAGTGATTTCTCCAGCTGACGCAGACGCAGCTGGAACTCACCTGCGCAGATTCAACAAAAACACTTCAATTTCTACACACTGTAATGAGTCGACAGCCCTTCCTGTGACGCTCTCCGTCGCTCACCCTGCAGCTTCAGCAGGTCCGATCGCTTCTCGTCCACGTCCGGACGCTCGGCCTTCAGGACCTCGTTGAGACACTGGCTCTGCAGGCTGCTGCGGGTCACGGTGAAGTTCACGAAGGTCACACGCGAGCAAAGGTCAGGAGGGAACTCCACCTGCAAAGACATGTCACAATTCAACCGTTACCGTGTGTTGTGCTGCATAATTAATCAGGAAAATACCTGTGAGCATTTATGATTTCTGTCATTATCCTTTATCTGATAGCTCACAGACAGTGTAAAGCACATGAGATCTGGGCAATAAGAGCATTACCGTGGGGTCTCGTGTGGAGAGGAAGATGACGAAGGAAGGAGACAGATCGATGTCCTGATCTCCGAGCGTGATGAGCACTCGGCCGCCGGTCCTGCGCACCTCCCGGTTGAGCACCGGGTTCAGTATTGGGTCGTAGCTCTCCACGTCCTGACAGAATCAATGAAAAAAGACTTGAATGAGCAAATGAAGGACGGAGCCGGATGGTGTTTCTACAGTAATAATGAGGCCTCGTACCTGCACCAGCAGAGGGTTGCCGAATCTCAGAGCGCTCTCCAAATTCTTCCTGAAGGCATCGTCCAAAAAGCTGGTGCGGGTGATCTTTTTGTCTTTATATTCGTTCATGATGAACTCCGTGGCCTGACCTGATGGGTCAATGATGAGCGGATACCTGCAGAACACAACAGACGCGTGAGAAATCAGCAAGAGTCCTTCAGTAACCCACCCGTCTCATCTCTGCTCTCACCGGTTGAAGCGCTTCAGCATGATGGCGTTCTCGGTGCACAGGTCGTCAGCGGGCAGTGAGTTGGCCTGCCAGCGCAGCCTCTCGTCCGCATTGGAGAGATACTCCGTCCTGGCGATGTCCGTGCGGAACTGGATGGGAGAAAGCGCAGGTTTCAGGATCTAAAGCGCTCAGTGCTGCATTATGGCAATATTCTGTGATGTTCTCTGTACCTGAATGTTGGCCTGCTGGAGGTGATGGGACCAGGTGGTGAAGAGGTTCTGTCTCATCTGCTGGTCAAAGTAACCAGCGTAAGCGATGAAGGCGGCGGAGAGCAGACAGTCTCCAGCGATGGTGGACATCTGGTTCTTGAAGGTCTCGCTGGTCTTTTCCCATCGCTCCCTCTCAGCAGATAAACTCTTCAGCAGGGCTGTGCTGCGGTTCACCTGCACAGAGATTAGAAGACTAGTCAAGCTTAACAGACAGCTGTTCAGAGAATACTACAACTAGCCAGAAGACGGGTTTCCCCGTCTAAGCTCTGTGAACGTGCTTCGAGAGGTTTTCATGTTGTATTCAACTTTCAAATGAGGAACAAATGAAATGCATTGTTTGTTGGCTTGATTTGTGAACACCACGCCAGCTTCTTTGGCTCTTTTCATATCTAAAACCAGATTTAAGTTATTAAAAAGACATTTTATTAAATTACATTTGGATTAACTTGATTAAAATCCTTTTCAATGGCCACAACAGAATAAACCACTTCCTCTAAGGAGCAGCAATATTGAAATGTGCTCATCTCATCGGTGGTTGTGGTCATACCTTCGCCTCCACAGCAGCCAGATCAGCTTTGATGGCCTGCGCTTCAGAGATGAGCACGGCGTACTCCTCCTTATAGCGTGCGATGCTGTTCTCCAGATCCCGGATCATCTGCTCCACCTCCTCGGCCTTCGTCTTGTTGTCTTTAGCGTCGTCCTCCAGCTTCTGCAGCTCGTTCCTCAGCGGCTCGACCCGCTTCAGCATGTCTGCGTAATTCAGCTGAACACAGAGCCAGAGATCAGCAGCGAGTCGCCGCGCTCGCGCAGAGCTTCAGCGGTCAGTGTCGTACCTGAGCGATGGCCCACTTGACCATCGGCCCGCAGGCCAGAGACGCCCGGTTCACCTGCTCGTAGTTGTAGCTGGGGTTGGACATGTAGTTCTTCTTCATCTTCTCACGGATGGAGTCACTGGGATGCAGGAACAGTGTGTTAGAATGAAGCCGACTGTGATTTCATCATGACACAGAATGAGGATGAACTCGACTAAAACACCTACACACTCCTGTACCTTCACACACAATCTCGGGGATTTACAAACTTTTTGTCAGCCAAACCCCTTTGAGCTAAAAGATTTTCTTCCAGTCCCCGAGACCTGAAGTTACTATATTTTAATAAGGGCTGTCGATTTAACGTGTTAATTAGGTGTGGTTACGGAAAAATATCCTAAGATTATTAACACATTTAACCCCAGACCTGATGCAGTGTCTGATCAATAGAGTTCAATAAACAAAATAGTTATATTTTAAAAACAGTATTGTCAATATTGCTCATTTCACAAACAAAAAGTTCCAATCAAAGTTACAACCGAACTGTTGAGCGTCTCTGAACAACACACAGCAGTGATTCATTTCTGAACGAATCCAAGGTTAAGCAAATCAATGATTCAGTGACTCGTTCATAAAGGCACTCACTGGCTTAGCTTCTGAATGAATCAGCTGTTTGAACGAATTGGTTGAATGATTAAATGACTCACTTTTTAAGACAGTGACTTTCTGCCACCTACTGGAGTTTGTAGTTTCTTATTTAGAGTATCATTTCATTTTTTTAATCTAAAAAAAAAAAAAATGTTTTTTTCAATATGGAATCAAAATATTTCTTTCTAAAGCTACTTTTGTGCAATGTCTATCCTAATATCTTGCATTTTCTTAACAGAATGACGTTAATCTTTTGGGGGGTACTTTATCAGCATAAATTGATGTGTGATTATTCGGCACATCATGTAATTAATTAGATTAAAACTTTTTAAATCGCTTGACAGCCCTAATTTCAATAACTAAAGACATTTGCGTGTTCACAGTCAGTTAATGGTCACATGACATGCAGCTAAACAGAATATCTAACCTATTTTTAGTGTTTTATTTGAAAGGTTTATTTATTTATTCTAACATTACATTTACAATTTTATTGTCAGCTCTTCATCGACTCATGAACCCCGGTTTGGGAATCCATGCGGTGACGTCTGAATGACAGACAGAGTCCGTCTCACACCTGAGAGGAAGAAGTATGAAGGATGATAATACCTCGTGTCCTCAGAGACAAAGTTGACTATGCTGGAGATAGCTAAACAAGCCACAAGCCGTGAGAAGGGGAAAGAGCGAAGACAGGAAGAGGTTAGCGCAGAGAAAAGACCACCGAACACCGCTGGCAAACACAAGAAAGAGCTGAAAGCAGAAAGAACTGAAGGAAATATCCACTGACGTCTCCGGCGACTGACACAGTCACAGCCGGTCACTAGGTGGCGCTTCTTGTTTTAGAGCAGATGTATAAATAGGCGTTTTGATTATTAGCCAAATGTTTCTCAAACATGGAGTGTAAACTCTGAGGTCATACCTCCAAGCCTCACCTGGGCTCTTAAAGGTGCTGTATGTAAGTTTTTGACTCTACTAAAGCATAAAAATACCATAATATGTTTGCAGATATTTAAGAAACATGCCAAGTTAACATACTTGTTTATCTGAAAAACAATGCTACAGTAAGTTATTCTCCTTTGAAAATGTGCGTTCCGGGCATTCTTTGTTTTGTTCTGTGTAACCCGTCCACTGGCAGTTTACCCAATTGTATTTCGGCACCCCGGGTTGCTAGTTGGCAGAAAACACTTTTCATTCATCTTCATGTGCGCTTGTTCCTGTTGGTGTCGTCAATCTGGCAACCTGCGTGTGCGTCACATGCCGGGTGAAAAAAACCCTCTCGATATTTAGAATTTGGACTACAATACCAAGTTCAACCACTGGGTGTCAATCCTACATACAGCACCTTTAAACCAGTGAATATTTCCTTAGTGGATCACAACTGACAGGAAAAATGATTTCAAACTGATATTGTATTAAACGTGAGCAGATTCTCTCAACATGTGGATCTGGACAAACAGCAGCACCAGCAGTGGAAGCGCAGAGGAGAGCGGAGCGAACCGTACCGTTCTGAGCCTCGATGACGGCCGGCTCCACCTGGTCCAAATCCTGCTTCACGCTCAGCTGCTTGACTTTAATCACTTCCTGCTGCTTGTAAACCGCTTCCTGTATATCCTGACTCATGACCTGTTAAGCCAAACAACACCTGTCAGGTTATTTACTAGAGCAGCGGCACAAGAGCACTGAAGCGATGCGCTGAACGATGAGTCTTGCCTTCTTCTTCTCGGCCTCCTGCTGGTCTTTCACCATCTTCTTCAGCTTGTCGTTGGCAGCAGCGTTCTTGACCTCCAGCTCCTGACTCTTGATCCGCAGGTCGCGCCGCAGCTCCTCCACCTGTGACGTCACACGGTTAATAACGCTAAACGAGCTCATGCGTCTGCATGCGTGATGTCGTGTGAAGCGCGCACCTGATCGACCGTCTCTTTGATTTTGCGCAGACCCACGTTCAGATGCATCTGCTGCTCCTCCAGCTCACTGCGCTTCTCGTTGAACAGGTTGGCGTAGTGGTTGATGAAGTCCAGGTAGTGTCGCGGGGTGATGGCCATAGTGCGGCCGCCACGCTTCGCCAGACGGTTGTTAGCCTGACACACACACAGAGAAATAAAGCATCACAGCATGCTCTGAAAGCAGTATGCACCTCATCAGACGGCGAGTGAGACGCTCTCTGACCTGGTGCAGCGTCTGATGCACGAACACGCAGCCGTTGACGATAGCCTCGCGGTGTGTGGGCGGCTGCGGCAGCTTGTCATACACGGTGGGCATGTAGTCTGGCACTTTGTAGCTGGGCTTCTCCAGGTCCATCTTGCTGGTGAACTCTTTACCCACCTGATAGAGCGCTTCAGTGGACCAATCGCCAAACCAGTTGAGCACACACCTGTGGAGAAACACCATCAGTCCAGCCAGAGCAAACCCATGACACCCATCCACCACACAATCACACATTTGCCCTTCTCCGGTTAGTGAGCGAGCACGAGTCAGCATTAGCATTTATTGCATAAAACATTTGCAAATAAAGCACCGCTTCCATCCCATGTTCAAAAGAGCAAAACCACTTCCCGGGAAACAGATGCAAGGAATCAACAATAAAAATTTAACTTGCTGCACCCGGGAAACCTGTGGCTCTTTTTTCCTACGTAATAAATGACGTGCGCCAGACAAAACGCAATTAAAAAAAATGCTGTTACGTTAGGCCTGGGCGATATTTATAGACGGTACACCATCTAAACGATGCTCACGATAGTTCCACGCTTTTTTAATTTAAAGGCACATTATGAGTGAGAAGCAGAGAGCCAACAGAACACAAACACATGCTGAAACAAGTGCCTGCGATGAGGACACTGGGAATCTAAAATAGGAATATTAGTTGAATTTAAAATAAAAATTTGCATTCGAATGCAAAAACAGTGTATTTGAGTTTTAGGTGTGCGTCAGTGAGCTCATCAGCTGCGCGCGAGATACAGTGAGGATGTAAGTGTCGTTGTTGCATTTTAATGTTTTTGTTAGTCTATATCCAGTTGAGCCCACAAGATGCGCCGCTGCTGCGTTTTTCATTCAAAATATTAGAGAAATATAGAAGCTCAATGCAGAGAAGATATTGTTTAGGTTAAAACCGAAACCAAGCCATTCACACAGAACGCATATTCGGCGCGTTCTTGAGACGCACAACTACGACTGAACACTCGCGTCTCGCACAAGAGATGAATAGAAAGCTATGTAAAGTTAAGAGGCTCAACTTTTAGAAAACACGTCTGGAGAATTTGGGGTTTTATTCCATTCCATTGCGTCTCATGTTTTTAAATGCAATCGTGTGATCAGTGCTTTGGCTATTTGTATTAAGCTATGCATAAATACATGATGCTGTTTTGTTCATAATTGTTTATGCAATTTGCAAAATCATATGATTTATAAATATAAGTTTAGACGGTATGCACTTTTTATAGACAGCCGTTATTTTCATTGCATTGAATAAAGTTTAATGAGGTGCATTATTTTGCTCGTCGCCCTCCTGTGGCCTCAGGAGACACCGAACACCTATTCAATCTGCAGATAAAATATAAAAAAAGGAGATATGTTTCAATTTTATTTTGTGTTTGACTGTTAAAACTAAAATAAGTTGTTTGACTCAATAAATTGGGTTATTTAAAAATACAGTGGTTAAAATTAAATATTTTTTTCTACCGTTTAAAAAAGGTTATGAAAAAATTCAATTATTATCGATATCGAATGCTATGAAACATTATATCGTGATAATTTTTTTTAGCTACATCGCCCAGCCGTTACGTTATCTTTCGTTCGGACGCCTGATGTTTGGAACGCAGTCGTGTGACGCAGTTATGGGAGGTGATTGTTTTACCAAATCATTTTCATGACTTTGACTCAGACATTTCAAAATGATTAAAGTGAAAAAGTGACGTGACATGTGGCCAAGTATGGTGACCCATACTCGGAATTAGTGCTCTGCATTTACCCATCCAAAGTGCACACACACAGCAGTGAACACACACACACACCGTGAACACACACCCGGAGCAGTGGGCAGCCATTTATGCTGCGGCGCCCGGGGAGCAGTTGGGGGTTCGGTGCCTTGCTCAAGGGCACCTCAGTCGTGGTATTGAAGGTGGGAGAGAGCGCTGTACATTCACTCCCCCCACCTACAATCCCTGCCGGTACGAGACTCGAACCCACAACCTTTGGGTTATGAGTGTGACTCTCTAACCATTAGGCCACGACTTCCCTTTTAAACTTTTCCACTTTTAAAGCATCATGAGACGGTGTGTGATCAGATTAATCCAGTTATCCAGTCACATGATCTGCTGAGGCAAAGTCACATGAATTTTTTGACGTGCACCGACGAATTTATTCAGTAAATGGGTTTCCATCGTAGTTTATGCGCATGTCTTCTTATCAGATAAATCTGACTCAACTGAGCACACAAAATGCACATTTTTAGAACTTATGCACATCATGGCATTTCCTTCCAGTGTTTTTTTTAATGCAATATTCCAAAATTGGCATAAAAGTAGGTGGATGGAAACACACACTGACAGTTCTTTCTTTTAGCAGACATGCCCTGCATTCCTGTAGAGTTAGTAATAGCAAAGTCATGAGTTCTATTACCAGGAAAGGCATGAACTGATCAAACATGGATAAAAGCATGTGCCAAATACACAAACGCACCTGTTGAAGAGGGCAGGTGAGGTGGCCGCTCTGTCCTTCAGCCCCTCTGATGACGGGTTCATGGTGAACACCACGTGCAGGTTCCTGATCACCTGACTGGTGAACCATTTGTACAGCTCCTCATGGGTGTCCAGCATCAAGCCCTCCTTCTGCGCTCCTTCCTTGCACTGTGTCATCAGGGTGGCGTATTCGTCACCCTCGAACAGGCCGGGCACCTGCAACAGCACAGAGCGGTCAGAACACACGACGAGACGGAGAGCGAGAGCGGGTCTTCACGGGTCGCACCTCTCCGTTGGCCAGCAGCGTGTTCATGCGAAATAGAAAGAACGGAATCCAGAAAAATGTAAAAAGGAATTTAGAAAAAAAATAAAACTATTTGTGAAAAAACTGATTTCATAGGGCCCTACACCTGTAAGAAGAGATTCCGGTTTTCTGAATGTAATCCGCTCCTCACCTCCATGTCCGGCAGGGCTCTCAGGGCACTGAACAGGGTCATGGTTTTCCCGGAGCCCGGCGGCCCACAGAGCACCAGAGGCTTGTGTTCGGCCAGCCAGGTGTAGAGCAGAGCCTCGTGACGCACCGTGTCCAGAGTGGGCACCACCACGTCCGGCGAGGCCACCTTGTGCGTCTCCACCTCGATCTGAGGCACCTTCACCTGCCAGGACTGCCACTCGCCCGTGATGGACACCTGACGGATTCAGAGCAGCGTTAGAGTCGCACTCAAACATCACAATCGATCTGAGACTGCGTCTGCTCGCACCTCGTAGTCGATGATCGGCACGTTCGGCGCGGACGGGAGAGACACGGTGGTGATGCGGCGAATGTATTCTCCCAGCTCCGCTCGCATCTTCAGCCTGCTGTCGCCCGAGAAGGACCACAGCACTGCGTAGATGAGGTATTTCTGCACAACATGCTCAAAGTTAGCATGTGTCACTTATTCTCACTCATGTAGCATGTAAACACACGGACCGGCTCGTTCATGCGTCACACCTGCATGTATTTCTCCAGCTGGTCGATGGGCATGGGGAAATCATGGTGGTTGTTGTTGTAGAGTGCCGGGAGAATCAGTTCAATCCGTGTGCAATGTCACAAGAACGAACACATACTTATAGGTTTGCTGCTGATGCACATTTTGGAACGCTTTGAAATGTAACACTGTTAGAAGAAAATGCAACATCGTTCCAAAACAGGAAGCAAAACTGTAACAAAATGATCTTCAGATCTGAAAAGAGCCTTAAACTCACCGGTCCTGGAAGAGTCGCAGTGCTTCGTGAGCCCAGATGCGAATCAGACCCTCCACAGGCAGCGTCTCCAGCCGGGCCGGCTCGTTCATGCGTCACACCTGCATGTATTTCTCCAGCTGGTCGATGGGCATGGGGAAATCATGGTGGTTGTTGTTGTAGAGTGCCACGTTGCGGCAGGCCTGATGCAGCATGGAGAAGAGCGAACTCAGCGAGCGCAGACGCGTGAAGTCCATGATGTGCTCCATCTTTGACGCGTGTTCCAGAGCTTTGATCACCAGACCGGTGGAGGTGAAATACGGCTGGAGAACTGCAGCAGCGTCTCTCTGGATCTGTGGATTAAACACAAGAGGCTCTAAAAACTGACAAGTACAAGCATGAAGGACAAAAACAGAGTGATAATAGAGAAGGACGCAGAACAGGACTATTAGTCACCATAGCTGCGCTGAAACGGTCAGATTCTCTTTTCCATGTTCCATCAGTACTTCTAGATCCTTGTTTTTAATTTAACCTTTCAAAGCTACTGTATCATATTTGATGTGAATTTCTAAGGCCTCGAAATGATCCGCTTGATCAAACTCTGCTGTCACTCAATCTGCTGCACGTCTTCCGTCTCTGAGAGTTTAGAGGTTTTTATCCAGTCGAAGCTCTTTCAGTGTAATTCTGGAGCTTCACGAGTCAAATCTGGACTGATTTTTATCCAGTAAAGGTCAGAATAACTGCAGTAATATCTCCAGATGAACTCTTACTGGACTGAAGCAGCTCAGCTTTACTTGATTCTCCATCAATCATGTTTTAGAGTCTCAAATCTGATCCTCAGGATCTTCTGAGGAGCCTTTATTTCTTCAGCTCTCAATCACTGCATTATATGTTTGGAGCATTTCAATCTCATCTTATATTACTGGAGATATAGAGCCACGACTGATATTTAGATCATTTTACGTAGTTTTGCACGCTAGAGTACCTGCAGCATGGGTGAGGCGGCCTCCTCGCCCTCGTCCTCCGTGGCCTTCCTCATGCGCTGGGCCTCATCCTCTCCCTCATCCAGCGGGATGCTCCGCAGACGCGCCAGGAAGTTGTTAAAGATCATGTCGGTGCTGAGAACGTCCTCGCTGAACCAGACCATCCCGCAGCGAGACACGGTGGCCAGCGTGGCGTACTTCAGGTCCTGCACCTCAAACATGATGCGCGTCACACAACCTGCAACCACAGACCAAAGCAGGGTTACGTTACCACTGCACACATGCACAACAACAGCTGAAGCAGACGCAGACGCACTTAAAGAACGGGACGATCTTCTTGGCGAGGATCTCAGCGGTGCGAAAGCCCTGCGAGTACAGCATGACCTGAGCGATCAGCTGCCGGTCCGGTTTGGTCATGGCCAGACTCCTGAAGAGCTTCTTGAGGTTATCGGGCAGGTTGGAGCGTCCGGCGTAACCGGGGTTCATGGTGATGAAGATGGCCATCTCAGCACTCACCTTCACCTGTTTGTTCAGCAGCTCTGTGGTGACGGGCACACCTGAACACACACGAGCACAGCTGTGATGATCACACGACTCTCAGGGATCGTCATCTGTGTTCAGCTCTGTTTAGATGATCAGGGCTCAACAGTGCCAGCATTTCACTCGCATTTGTGACTAAAAATAGATGTGTGGGAACTGGAAAATCTATTTAGGAGCACGAGTGCGAATACAATTTATTAAACATCCTAACTTACACAGTAGCCTATTACAATGTATTAATTTCTTCAGTTAATTTATGGAAAAACAGCGATACAGCCTCATATGATTATTGAACGTTAAAAAGGCGATGCACAGATGAGAAGCGGAGCGAGTGCAAACACATGCGGCACTAGAGGGCTCTGCGGAGGCGGGAACGCAGCCGTTACCACGGCAACCCTGTAAACAAAGCAGCAGCGCTACTTTGTTTCAAACAGTCATTTACATGTTTATATTTGCTTTAGTCTTCACCATAGCACCAAATAATTCATACATAAAGACTTAAGCTATTTATTTTCAAACTTAAACTTTTATTTTAATCTTACCGAAAACATGGCCTACCTATATATTGACTGATTCGTTATTATTGTTCGGTAACACTTAACAGGTTCCATTAAAATTAGTTAACATGAAATAACGACTGCATTTAATAATCTTAGTTCATGTTAATTTCAACTTTTAATAATACATTATAAAATCAAAAGTTGTGTCTGCTTATATTATTTAATGGAGCTAACATGGACTAGCAATAAATAGTTGTATTTTTATTAATCAACGTTAACAAATAATATAAGCTACTGCAAAGAGTTAGCTATTGCACATTGTTAGTTAATGTTAACCTGCTTTAACTAAAGTTAACTAATGGGACCTTATTGTTGCCTATTGTTCTTTCGTTCATTTGAACTTTAATCTTTTGCACTCTAATCTTGAAACACTTGTTTACTTTATATTTTTGTGTATTTTTTTTTTTTAAATAAAGTATTTCTTTAGTACAAGATCTTTAATAAATGTATTTAACCTGTTAGGAGGACAATTTTTTTTTACTTACTAAATTATATATTGTGATAAAACCATATACCGTGACGAAAGCTTCAACGACTATTGTGAAAATTTGATACCATCACATATCTAATGTACATACAATTTAATAGGACTTGAAATAGTTACATAATTACCCTATTAAATAGAATCTAAAGCAGAATTATTTAAAAACCTTGTGTACTTTCTGTATTCTGATAAATTAAATAATTGTGTTTGTAAAGATCTTCTTATATCCCCTTATTAAGCTAAAACACATCATTTGAAAATTTTGCATTGCGCCCCTAAATTTTTTTAATGTGCTCCCAAGCACGTGTGCTCCTTGGGAATAAGGAAAGCATCGAGCCCTGATGATGAGGTTCTGAACCATAGCGAGCACGTACTGCGGTCTCGGTTGGGGTTGCTGTGTTCTCTCAGCGCCACCTGGATGTACTGGACCTGCTGAGACACGGCAGACAGCATGCGCTCCTCCAGACGGTTGAACTCGTCGAAGCAGCCCCAGGCGCCCACCTGACACAGACCCACAAAGATGCGGCCCATCGCCTGCAACACAAGACACCGTCAAACCCCTGTGATTAAACACCTGTTATTGACCCCCGACACCAATCCCGTGACACCAGTCGCACCTGGAAGTCAAAGGTCTCGTCGCAGTTGAAGACCAGGACGAAGCGGCCCAGCTGGTGACCCAGAGCTTTGACAGACTCGGTCTTCCCCGTTCCAGCAGGACCTACAGAACAAGAACGTCCGTCAGCAACCGCACACTTCACATTCAGCTCATGCGCACACGTCTGTGTGCTCAACTCCAGCAGGAAAGGTGAGACTGACCGAAGGGCGATCCTCCCAGACGGGCCTCCAGCGCCTGCGTCATGGTCAGGTAGCAGCGGTCGGTCAGTGGCGTCTGCACCAGCTTCTCCTGCACACCCAGGTACTCGAAGCCGTAGTTGAACTTAGCGTTGGCCATCTGAATGGAGAGCTGCTGGAGGACGTCGGTCTGCTTGGGGTCGAAGTAGAAGCGCATCTGGCTGAGCCACTCGAAAGACTTGGGATTGTCGATCTTGTTCTTGATCAGAGTTCTGGTCACGTCTCTCTGGTGCACCAACTCCGTGATCTACGAATGAAAAACACGCAAGTCACGAACACGTCTGCAGAGCTCGTCATACGGAGTAAATATCTGCATCTATGTGCGTGCATCAGAAAAATACCTCAGGCCGTTGCATTTCACAGGTTTTACGAAGGTAAGACTTTAAGACCTTTTTAAGGAATAAGCTGACGGGAGCACCATACCTCACTATGCGTTCTAAACATAAATGTGAAGGTGGGCTCAGAGAAACCAATTAATTCAAAGGAAAAACATATTTTTCTGACCCCATTAGCAGATATTTGTTTTTGTCTTAAGCAGAAACGTAATTTTGTTCAATTTCTCAGAAAACGAGAGGACCTTATTGTTGCCTATTGTTCTTTCGTTCATTTGAACTTTAATCTTTTGCACTCTAATCTTGAAACACTTGTTTACTTTATATTTTTGTGTATTTTTTTTTTTTAAATAAAGTATTTCTTTAGTACAAGATCTTTAATAAATGTATTTAACCTGTTAGGAGGACAATTTTTTTTTACTTACTAAATTATATATTGTGATAAAACCATATACCGTGACGAAAGCTTCAACGACTATTGTGAAAATTTGATACCATCACATATCTAATGTACATACAATTTAATAGGACTTGAAATAGTTACATAATTACCCTATTAAATAGAATCTAAAGCAGAATTATTTAAAAACCTTGTGTACTTTCTGTATTCTGATAAATTAAATAATTGTGTTTGTAAAGAGCTTCTTATATCCCCTTATTAAGCTAAAACACATCATTTGAAAATTTTGCATTGCGCCCCTAAATTTTTTTAATGTGCTCCCAAGCACGTGTGCTCCTTGGGAATAAGGAAAGCATCGAGCCCTGATGATGAGGTTCTGAACCATAGCGAGCACGTACTGCGGTCTCGGTTGGGGTTGCTGTGTTCTCTCAGCGCCACCTGGATGTACTGGACCTGCTGAGACACGGCAGACAGCATGCGCTCCTCCAGACGGTTGAACTCGTCGAAGCAGCCCCAGGCGCCCACCTGACACAGACCCACAAAGATGCGGCCCATCGCCTGCAACACAAGACACCGTCAAACCCCTGTGATTAAACACCTGTTATTGACCCCCGACACCAATCCCATGACACCAGTCGCACCTGGAAGTCAAAGGTCTCGTCACAGTTGAAGACCAGGACGAAGCGGCCCAGCTGGTGACCCAGAGCTTTGACAGACTCGGTCTTCCCCGTTCCAGCAGGACCTACAGAACAAGAACGTCCGTCAGCAACCGCACACTTCACATTCAGCTCATGCGCACACGTCTGTGTGCTCAACTCCAGCAGGAAAGGTGAGACTGACCGAAGGGCGATCCTCCCAGACGGGCCTCCAGCGCCTGCGTCATGGTCAGGTAGCAGCGGTCGGTCAGTGGCGTCTGCACCAGCTTCTCCTGCACACCCAGGTACTCGAAGCCGTAGTTGAACTTAGCGTTGGCCATCTGAATGGAGAGCTGCTGGAGGACGTCGGTCTGCTTGGGGTCGAAGTAGAAGCGCATCTGGCTGAGCCACTCGAAAGACTTGGGATTGTCGATCTTGTTCTTGATCAGAGTTCTGGTCACGTCTCTCTGGTGCACCAACTCCGTGATCTACGAATGAAAAACACGCAAGTCACGAACACGTCTGCAGAGCTCGTCATACGGAGTAAATATCTGCGTCTATGTGCGTGCATCAGAAAAATACCTCTGGCCGTTGCATTTCACAGGTTTTACGAAGGTAAGACTTTAAGACCTTTTTAAGGAATAAGCTGACGGGAGCACCATACCTCACTATGCGTTCTAAACATAAATGTGAAGGTGGGCTCAGAGAAACCAATTAATTCAAAGGAAAAACATATTTTTCTGACCCCATTAGCAGATATTTGTTTTTGTCTTAAGCAGAAACGTAATTTTGTTCAATTTCTCAGAAAACGAGACTTCATATCTTCATTTTGCATTTCAGGCAAATGTATCTTGTTTTAAGGATGTTTAGATATTTGTACTGGAAAACAAGGCAAAAATACTGAGGAAGATATTCATGTTTTGCAGTGAAGGCAACATGTAATGCCATGACTTTTGTTTTTAAGACTTTCTGCTCTGATTTAAGACCCACAGATAGCCTGGCATTGCTGTTTTTCTGCCCTGAAAACAAATGTGATTGACACAGACTAAGCAAGACATGGCTGTATTTTGCACCATGAATGACATCTCGAGCTGCATTAATCTCCAGTTTCACTCATTATCAGCACAGGTGCTTCTGAGGTTCTCACCAGGTGCTCCAGCTTCTTCCTGCGCAGCGGCGGCTGCTCCATCAGAACCGTGTCGGCCAGCAGGTTGAGCGTCGCCTTCACGTTGGCCAGCACGGCCTGCAGCGGACCCATGTCTTCCCCGCCGCCAATGGTGGTCAGAGCGCTCTCCACGTTCTCAGACCAGTCGATCTGAGTGGACAGAACCACCAGCTGGGCCTGGACGCAGCGGAGACGGAGGTTAAGCACTCATGAAGACGTGTACAGACGCTGGGTCAGTGTCAGAGGACGGGTCACCTGGTATCGGTCGATCCAGTTGATGTAGGTGCTCAGGTCGATGCCCGTGCTCTTGTTGAAGCCAGCAGATCTTCATCACCAACAAAGTAGAACCTGCGGGAAACAGAAATGATGAGTGTTTAGACAACTGTGACAATACGAGTACAGAAATAAGGCCTGCATTTATTTTACCAACTAAACGACACAACCAACATGTTTGTCAGATTGTTAAAACTCGTTTTCATTATAGCACTGCAAAAACTACAAATCTTTAAAAAATCGTTGGTTAACACATCATATGAAGGGCTAAGAGATATCTAAACAAGTTTCCTGGATTTCCCACACATTCCCATCGGCTCTCATGTTTAATGGACGTTTGTGAGAAAATCGTATTGTGAAATCAGTATCGTGAATCGAATCGCATCGTGAGTTGAGTGAATCGTTACATCTCTATATTCTGAAGGTTTGTTCATATTTCATTCACACTGATTTCTAAAGCATTTTACTCCTAAAATCATGATGAAAATGTGTTTGTTTTCTGACAGTGTTTTCTGACTTATGGAGCGATAAAAAGAGAAATCCAAATTCCCCTCTGGAAAACCTTTAACTCTATTTCAACAAAATCAAACAAGAATTTTAAGCCTGGCTTTATCCAACGTTCAGATTTCTGCATATTAGTGCGCATTTAATTAGATTAATGCCTCGTTTGCATATGTAAACGAAATTTCAGAAATCTTAAAGACTTAATGTACTGTGATTTATCAAATGGGGAAAGTATGGAGATATCTATCAGTAAGGGTTCATCGACAGCTCAAACATCTATAGATTCTGATGAACTCTGTAATTGTTAGTTGGGTTGTGTCTCTTTAAAACTCATTAGAACTCCGTTCATAACAGAGACGCTTGTAAAGTCGTGGCGCACCTGCACTCTCTCCTCGCTGCTGCTCAGCAGACCCGTGTGCGTGTGAGTGAGTGAGAGAGTGCGTGTGTGAGAGTGAGAGAGTGCGTGTGTGAGAGTGAGAGAGTGCGTGTGTGAGAGTGAGAGAGTGCGTGTGTGTGAGAGTGAGAGAGTGCGTGTGTGAGAGAGTGCGTGTGTGAGAGTGCGCGTGTGTGAGAGAGAGTGAGTTAGTAGGTGTGTGAGAGTGTACACGTCTTTTCACTTCCACAGTATTTTTTGGCATTCTATGGAAGTCGATGGCTACCAGCAACTGTTTGGTTACACGCGCGTGTGAGAGAGAGCGCGAGAGAGAGAGAGAGTGGAGAGTGCAAAGGGGTGGAAAATTTCCGGAAACTTTCCAAAAATCCCTGGAATATTCCAAAAAATCCTGGAAAGTTTC